TAGAAGGTTACTTTAGTGAGAATAGACAAGGAAGGTCCATCTAAGGAGGTAATACTTGAGCTGAATCTAAACGAAAAGGAGGTAAACTGGTGAAGATCTGGGAGAACAACATTTCAATTGTCAAGAGAAAAGGTTTTGAAGTTGAAAAAAAAATGCTCAAGGGAAACCAGTGTGGCTGATCCATAACAAAGAAGAGAAGAAAATGAGATCAGAGAGATTATAAAGGCCTCTCTGACATTGACCTTACAGACTATGGTAAGGAATGTGGCTATGTTTAAAAAAATTAGGCACAAAAATCATGGAAAATATTTAGAAGTGACTATAGGAACCTAATAGTAGTAAGTGTAGGTAGAATTTCAGCAAAGAAATTAGGAGGGTATATTTTATTTTCACTGATAACAGTTGATAATAAAATACAGAATACCACTGCTAATAAAAAAGTAAAATCCAACCCTGGTCAGGTAGCTCAGTTGGTTAGAGCATTGTCCAGATATGTCAAGGTTGTGGGTTTGATCCCTATGAGGGCATATATAAGAAGCAATCAATGAATACATTTATAAATGGAAAAACAAATCAATCTATCTCATACTCTCTCTCCCCTCCTTCTCTCCCTCCTTCCATCTTCTCCTCTGAAATCAATAGATAACAAATTTTCTTTAAACTGTGAGGTTAATAACACATTCAGGAATGTAACTATTCTCAACTGAACAATTTGGAAATCAAGTAGATAAAGGTATAGCTCTCTCACCAAAGCCTGACAGGATCAAAGTGACTGAAATTAAATTTAGAGAAAGAAAGGCAAAAGAATTGTGAGTATGGCCTTTGATAGACAGAGTTTACTGGAATCAGATGGAAGAGAAGTAGACTGAGTACTGCTAAAAGAAACATCAGCCTTGGGATAAAATATCTCTGACAGTTGGAGATGTGTAATGACACTTGGATTCACCAGTCATCTGGAGATGAGAAGCAGGTTGAGAGATTTGCTCATTTTCCAAGGAAGGCCTATTCTATAATATCCTCTTGAGTAGATCTAAGACAAGACTTCCCTGAGTGGAAGCCACAGGGAAGAAAGAACTAGAACTAATCCCCAGATTGCAGTATCAGTGCCTAATCAAGGAATATTCCATACCTTCAGTCAGCAGCAACTTCTGCCTTGTGAGATTTTTCAGAACCAGAGTGTGCTTTCCATTCTTTCTATTTCTGAAGAGGATCATTCATTGTAGTTACCTAATTCCTGTTTCACCATATTGCATTTTGCTTGTTGTGAGGCAAATAACTTGACTGTGTTATTTCACAGGTTTCCAGACCAAAAGGAAACAGCCTGAACAAACTGCTTTTGTAGTTTGAGACTACAGCATCGTTCAGGGATCAAGGGCTTTGAGCTGGCAATGAAGATAATAAAAGACTTTTAGGTTAACTTCCTTGGTGAGGAGGGTGAATATGTTTTGAAACTGGAAAGGAGAAAGATTGAAATGATTGCAATCAGAAGGGCAGACTGACCCGACCTGTCTGGTCAGATAGTTGGGGTGTCCTCCCATAGACCGAGAGGTCTTGGGTTTGATTCCTGGTCAGGCCACATGCCTAGGTTGCAGATTCCATCACTGGTTGAGATGGAAACCAATCTCTCTCTGCCTCTCTGTCTGTCTACCCCCGCCCCCTGTCTCCCCAAACCCCTCTCCTTTCTCTCTTAAAAAAAAAGAAAATATGTCCTCATGCGAGGATTTTAAAAAAAGGGCAAACTGTGATAGATTGTCTTTTTATCCATAATATTTAATGTCCTTAGTGGGAAAAGATTATATTTGTATCTCCCTGTTTATACCATGCTTAGCTAGATGACTTGATTTAAGCAATAAGGATACAAAAGTAAAATTACTGATAACACAGAGGAAAAAAAAAGATTGTGGGGCTTGCAAAGAACTTAATGAAGACAATAATCTTTACAGAATGATCAGGCCAAAAAAAGAGGGAAAATGTGTATTCCATATATTTGAAATAGCCTGAATAAAGCAGAAGAAATAAAAGTTCATAGTGTAAGTACATAATGTATAGAAGGAATTGAGATGAGGTTAGTGTGATGAGAACTTAGGTTACATAGAAAGTTGTTATAGAAAATGAAATGGAAAAGATTATCCCAGATTTTTAAGAATTTAGATTTGGAACTACTGTTTTTGCAATGAAGACTCATACAAAGTTTTATACCTAAACATGAGACAAAACAACCACAGGGCACAATATCTTAAATGAACTGGAGCTGTTTTTTATCATCCCACTCTTGCGACTTGTGCCCTCTGTATTTCTTGTTCCTTTGCTTGGTTTAATTTTGTGAACAATTTTAAAATACAAAAAGATAATATAAATATTAGTTGTCTGAGTTAAATGTAAGCTGTACAGTGAATAACTCTAAAAAAATCTAGGCAGTATGTCAATAGGACCCCTCCAAAATGTTTTCTCTTGAATGCCTTCTCTGAATATACAAGCCTAAAAATTCTCAAAGCCATAGTGATTATGTGCTATTAATGTGTGACAGTAAAGAAACGGGTTCTTTAGAGAGAAATGATAAGTGAGCCGTGGAGTATAATTATATTAATGCAAATTGAAGGCAGAATCTTAAATTTTTTACTCTGTTTGCATTTAGGCATTTAATTATTTTTCTAGCAGGTAAATTGACAACTGGAGTTGTTCTTCTGATAATATAAATACAAATTATACCTTCACTTGTTAATAAAGATTCTGTAGCTATCCTTAAACTAAAAATAAATATGTCCTTCCATTAGTATTATGGTTACTTAGCATAAACTGTATTTAATTATAAAATTTTATTAAAAGAATTGAAAACATATTTTGGTCTGTGAAAGTTTACATCCCTATTATAAATCTCAAAGCTTCATATACTCTCATAAGTTTAAATGAAATACCTGAATCACTTTATGTGCAAAATTCAATGAATACTAAAAAAGTAAAGAAACTCTAGTAGACTCTAGCAGTTTGAAATAACTGGTACTTCTTGTCACTGGAATCTTGCAGCTAAATAATATTTTAGGAAAACTGTATTTAAAATTTTTAGAATATTATACTATATACCTAAATTGTCTGGTTATAGCTTTTTTTGAAAATTATGTTCTATTACTCTTTTATGTTGCCATTTATTATCTGTAGTATCTATCTTTTCCATGAATGGATATTCAGTCATTATTTATTAATGTGTTAATTTATTAAACATGTATTAAGTGCCTACTATGTGTTGTTCAGCACACTGAGTGCTTAGGATAAGAAAAATAATACCCTGCTCTCTTTCTTTAACACCTTGTAGTCTAGAGGGGCCGGGGGTATAATTTTAAAGCTTTTTGACAAGTGCTACACACATACTAGGTGTATAGCATCCATGCCAAGATCAAGGATATTATTTTATTTTTGGAATGTTGAGTTTAGTATACCTATGAAATGTCCAATTAGAGATGCTCTGAATACTGGCAGAAACATCACTTGAGTTAAGTTTGGTCTGGGATTGTCCAATTTAAAAGGAAAGGGCTTATTGATGAACTTGTCTACAAAGAATGTGTAAGAAGGAAAGTGTAAGGAGAGAAGAGGGTCAATATTAAAACCCTAGAGAACATGATCAAAATGAGGACCAGGTCAGGAAGGAGGAGTCAGAACAGAAAAGTTAGAATAAATGAGAGATGTAGAAAGATATATCAGTCAGGGTTCAATCAGAGAGACAGAGCTTCCCAGATATATACATATATAATAATGGATTTATTACAAGGAATTGGCATCATACACTTGTGGCGCAGTGTTTCTTATCACAGCCTAATGTCAGCAGGGAGGCAGTCAGGAAGGGAAGTGGGATATGAAGTGCAGAAGCAAAGACACATTAGAACTTGCGAGGATGAAACCATGAAGACAGAGAGACCCCGCTGGATCTCTTGTTGCCTCCAAACTCTCACGTTCAGTGGTGTGGGCATCCTGCAGAAGACATGAGAGCCATTTGTCACAGAACTAGACATAAACCTTAATCCAGGAATATAGAATCTAAAGGAGTAATTTGGCAAAAGACAGGAGTACAAAGAGACACCCCGGGGAATCTCATGCATTTCATACATATTCCTTACCCTCACTGAGTTGTAGTATTCCAATTTTCCCATGCTAATCAAAATCAATCACACAAGCTAATAGAGTGACCCCTCTTATTTGCCAGTTTACTGATTTACATGAGGGGCCCAAAGTAACTAGTTGGCAGGCTCAGCTTTGAGTTTAATGAAATTATTGCCCTGTCTCCTGAGAGAAGCTTTCTTCCTTGAAACTGAGACTTCTAGACCAGCAAAGCATGGTTGCGGAGATGGTAAGTCAAAATTTCATTAGCAGATTGCTAGGAAAAATATTAAGAGCTACTGCTATGTCATCTTTCACTACTGTCCTTCAGAGTCAATCCAGAGTGGGATGATAGTGCTAGAATTGTCTACTTTGGTATATTGACAGCATTTCATAAAGAGCCATCTGTAAATATTTCTTCCTCAGTTAACTGGCTGTTGGGAGTGCGCCATAGATCCATAGATGCAGTTTGAGAGGATAAGAGGCATTATTGCAGGAGCATAGAACATGGGCATCTGTGACACTTATTCATGCGGCTCACCTATGCCTTCCGAACCCACTCAGACCCATCTGGTTTCCAGGTGGAGTTGGACTGCCGCTGTGCATGTTCAATCTTATGACTGTCATATGGGACCCAGTTCATGACAGATAACCCAGGTAGCATGGTAATTTGCTTCAAGCACTGACAGATCTGCTAGGTTATACACCTCAGTTGAAGACCAATTCATGGCATCCCAGACTGGTTGCTGCCCTGCCCTAAACTACCAACTGTTCAGTTTGCCCAGTAAATAGGTAAGAGTAGTACACCCAGATGAGGTAGATGTTTCCTCCCATTTCCAAAGAGGCTCACTTAGTGTTAAGCATCTTTGTCATATGAGGAGCCAAACGTAGTCCTTCACTTTTTGGTGTTTTAGGGGAGAGTGTGAACACAGTCCCCCAGTACCACAAATTACGCAGCTGAGTTTCCCACATTTGGGGAAATCACAGGGGTCAGCACACATTGGTGTGAGACTTGCCCTGGGAAAACCACCTTTGTCATCACGGTATCGCCCCTGCTACATGGATATAGTTTTTTGTTTTTACTCTGAAAGTGTTATCTTGACATGCCCCAGACCACTGGAACCCAAGAAATATCACTGCATGACAGAAACCTGATTATTTGGTCAGATTTAATTCCTCCCATCTTACCAGTGTGTCAAGAGTAGTTGTTGCTTCTTTCTTACTAGGTTCAACCAACATGATACTATCAATGTAACTGACCATCATGATTTTCTGTAGAATTAAGAGATGATCAAGGACCCCACCGGAGTGATGCAGAGTTAATGTCTCCTGGGATATGACAGTCCAAGTATGTTACTAGTCAATAGAAAGCAAACTAATTTTTTTAAAAGGTTGATTTACTTATAATTTTTATTATAGTAGTAATATAATGTTTTTGTTCAAGAGTTTATATCTCATTTCTGTGTTTTCCTCTAGTTTTTACTTTAAAAAAATTTAAGCCTATAGAAAAATTGGAAAAAAAATACAATGTGATTACCACATGTCCTCCACCGAGATTTGTTGGCAGTGAGAATGGCACCCAGAGTTACACCAGTGGGGTCAGACCAAACCTTCGTTCAGCAACCTCAGTACTCGAGTTATGGCTAATAATTCTGAGTCAAGATTCAGAATACAAGATAAAGTTTATTTAGAAAGTTGCAGGTAGAAGAAGTGGGCGATAGAAGATATTGGCTCAGAAAACAAGTTCCAGAGGCAAAAAGAAGTCTCTTAGAGCTTAGGAGAGATAAGGGTAAGGGCTACATAGCTCGGTTGGGAGAAGGAGGGGTGGGGGAGGGAGAAGGGAAAAGTGTAGGTGTGCTCCTGGGCAGGAGAGGGCCTAAATCAAACTACTTCTGATGGTCTTTATTAACAGCCTTTGATACAAAAAGCATTTGCCATTCCAAGATCAAGGTGCCCTCAGATTTGGTTCCCAGTGAGAACCTTTCTCATTGAAAGCCTTGTCACTGTCCTCACAAGATTTTCTCTCTACTACTTCTCAGGACACTAATCCAATTACATGGTCTCCACCCTCACAATCTCATCTAAACCCAATTACCTCTGAAAGGCACCATGTCCAAATAGTATCACACTGCAGGTTACAGCCTCAATGTATGAATTTTTGCAGGGTACAAACATTCAATCCATAACATCTATCAAAACTTCAAGGTATAAATAATTCCTATACTATTTAATTTGTCCCATAACATTGAAAAAGGAGTATTCAAAATTCATGTTACAAAGCAAGCATTAACCTCATACTTAAATTTAACATGAACAGTCCACTCATGCTTTCTTTAATTCCAACCAGACTAATGACAGCAGTTTATCAAAGAGATATCGTATCCCTCAAAATGGGGGGCAGTAGTAAAATATTAATGTTAAATTACTTGACTTTAAAACTATTCAGACTTTCACTCCAAGATTAGCACTCTAGATTACACAGACAATGCAGACTATGCTTTTCTGTTCAAAGACATTGAAGGGTGCAGTGGGTTTCATAGTGTCAGCTGAAAATTCCTGAACACCTGGAGCCTCGGAATCTAAACTTATTTGGAAAAAGGGTCTTTGAAGAGGTAATTGGTTAAGATAATGTCACACTGGACTAGGGTGGTATCTAAATCCAATGACTGGTATCCTTATAAGAAGGGGTATGTACACACAAAGAAACACATGAGAAGGAAGATCATATAAAGAACCCAAAGATTGGAGCTACCAAATGCTCAGGAACACCAGGAGACACCAGTAACTGGAAGAAGCAGGGAAAGATTCTCCCCTCAAGCCTTTGGAGGAAGTGTGACCTGTTGATACCTTGATTTCTCGCTTCCGACCTCCAGATCTGTGAGAAAATAAATTCCTATTGTTTTAAGCCACGCAATTGGTAGTCATTTTTATGGCATTCCTTGAAAGGTAATACAGATTTTGGTACCAAAAATGAATTGCTGCTGTACCAAATACCTAAAAATGGGGAAATGTCTTTGGAATTCGGTAATATGTAGAGGCTAGAAGAATTTTGAAGTACATGATAGAAAGAGTCTAGATTGCCTTGGAGAGACAATTACTAGAAATATGGACATGAAATGCAGTTCTGATGAGAGTTTACATGGAAGTGAGGAACATGGTAGAGAAAGCTTCTATAACCTTAGAGAACACAGAAATTGTCATGAAAAAATACTGGTAGAAATATGAACATTAAAGGTGCTTCTGATGAGGTCACAGAAAGAAACGAGGAGCATGTTATTGGACACTGGAGGAAAGATGTTCCTTGTCATAAGTGGAAGACAATTTGGCTGAATTGTGTTCTATTATCGAGCATAAAGTAGAACTTGCAAATGATGAATGTGGGTATTAGCTGAGGAGATTTCCAAGCAAGGTGTTGAAGGCAAAGCCATGTTTCTTCTTGCTATTTACAGTAAAATGCAAGAGGAAAGAGATACATTAAAGAAGGAACTGTTACTCCACAGACTCGATCATGGAGCAGCTCCCCACCAGTCCCTGCGACTGGGCTCCCAGACCTGGTGCCCCTTTCTCCGCCACCCGTGACTGTGTGCCAAGGCCTTTAAGTGGTCACCACCAAGGTTTCCACCGGCCCACAAGCAAGACCATGGGAGCCTTCCCCTCCACCCCTTCAGTGACTTGCTGTTGGTCACCCATGACTACTATAGGCACCGTCTGGGTTCCAGTTCCAGTAACAGCTCCTGTGGAAGGGCTGAGTACCCTGGGGAAGCCATCCTCTACCACCCCAGTTTCCCCAAGGCCTAGCCAGGTCACTGGTGAGTGAACTTCTCTTTGGGGAAGTGACTCTGTCATTCATGGCCACAGTGCTGGAGTACCCAGAGCACTTGAAATCTCCCCAGGCCTCCATCAGCATGATCACCTGTGACCTGGCTGAAAAAGACACGGGCAAAGCAGCTTGGTGGGCAGCCCAGCAAAGCCAACACCAGGCCTTCATCCTGAGTTGCCACCACCAGCTGCCTGACTTCCAGAGGCGCTAGGTGTTTTTGAGCCCCTTTTCTGTACTCTTCTCCTTTCCTCCCTACCCTCCTCGCTACCCAACTCCATAGACCAGGCAGGCTACAGCGAGAAGAGGCAATTGGTTTCTTTTAAAGATTTTACTTATTTATTTTTAGAAAGAGGGGAAGGGAGAGAGAAAGAGAGGGAGAGAAATATCGATATGTGAAAGATACATTGATTGGTTGCCTCTTACATGCCCCCAACCGGGGATCTGGCCTGCAACCCAGGCATGTGCCCTGATTGGGAATCAAACTGGCAACCTTTCAGTTCTCAGGCTGGCACTCAATCCGCTGAGCCACACCAGCCAGGGCAGTTTCTTTTATATCGAAACAGCAAACTGCCAAAAAGAGAATTTACTATCCAAACCACAGGAGCCTTCCTGACACCCTGTAACCACATGCCTTTCACCAAGTGGAAAATGAAGGACAAGTAGACAACAATAACAACAAAAACAAAGAACTGTGAGGCAAATAGAGATAGTGCAAGAGACAAAGAAGATAAAAGAGTATCTAATATATAATGGTTGCAGGCCAGGTCCCCAGTAGGGGTTGTGTGAGAGGCAACCACACATTGATGGTTCTCTCCCTCTCCCTCTCTCTAAAATAAATAAAATATTTTTAAAAAATGACAACAGCCAAGATAATAGGTATCTGGTATGAATTAATAAAAATTATACCTATTTTTTTGGTCAGATTGGCAAAAAATACGAAATTTTTTCACTGTGCCACAGAATTTTAGTAATTTGTGTGCCATGAGATGAAAAAGGTTGAAAATTGCTGGACTAGAGCATAAAAAATATTTGGAAGTATAAGAAAGATCATTTCAAATCTGATGTAAGATATCAAACTAAAGATTCAAGACTCTCTTCAAGTACTATATAGAAGAAAAAGAAAGCAATACCTAAATACTGGTACGTTGCTAATGAGAATATACATTTGTACTACACTTAGTACTATCTGTTGGGTTTTTTTGTTTTTTTTTTTTTACTAAGGTTGAATATTTGAATACTGTATAATCAAGTGATTTCATTTTGAGACATAAACCTAAAGGAAATGTGTGCTTTTGTATACCAAGAGGCATGAATGAATACATATAGAATCATTATTTATAACAGCCTTGAACTGGAAAGAGCCAAAATATTGATCAAAGGTAAATGAATAGATAAATTGTGATACATTCAAGCATGTATTTCTACAATGCAAATGAACTACAACTATACACAACAACCTAGATGATCCTCACACACAAAAAAGTCAAAGAACCCAGACCGAAAACAATATGTACTGTATGAGTCCATTTACATAAAATTTTAAAATAGTGTTAGATTCGGGATAATGACTATCTTTATAGGCACCAAGGGAGTATTAATTGAGGGGGCTCAAGAGAGGCTATTGGGTCTTGGCACAGATGGTACTTAGCAAGGTGTTTTCTTAAAAAAAAAATTATTAATTTATTTTTAAAGGGAAAGGGTGGGAGAAAGGGAAACATCGATGCGTAGTTGCCTATTCCACTCCCCCTACTGGAGACCTGGCCTGCAACCCAGGCATGTGCCCTGACTGGGAATCAAACCAGCAAACGCTTACTTTGCAGGCTGGCACTCAGTCCACTGAGCCACACCAGCTAGGGCAGGTGTTTTCTTCCTGATGATCCTTTGATCTAAACATGTATTTATTTTTCACTTTTCTCTGTTATTTTCCAATAAAATTTTTTTGACAACTAAGTTGCATAGATTTAGAACAATGTTAGGAAGCTTCCTTATGATTTGTCAATTAAAGACCTGATGGATTAAAAAGAACAGAAGGTATCATTATGCATGCTTGTTTGTTTGAAAGCTCTTCCACCTTTTGAGTTGATGACATGAAACCTCCTGTCTCTAACTAACCTTATTTGTCTGTCTAACATATGATATTGTAAACTTTATGATGTTGCTCCAGTGATGCTGTCTTTGCCCATCTGCTTTGCTTTCTTAGGACTTGGCCCTTGTGAAACTCAGCCTCTAACATGATAAAACACCTTG